GCCAAGGCTGCGTCAGAATTGCCGGTATCAGTCTCTAATCAATGTAACGATGCCGCTGTGCGAGTTCAGCAGCTGTTGAGAGCAGACTGGATCCGTAAACGTGTTTACTTGTATCGATTTTTCCTGGTCTTTATATCGATGTATCCTGGTGCTGGAAAAGCAGCGGTCGCATGATCTTGTGATACTTAAACTGCTTTTTAACTGCATATTTGATACACTATTTTAAGTACCTGCATTGCCAAATTGTCAGGATGTTTCAGCCACCAAATTATATGGGATGACTAAAAGTGTGGGATGATTAAAGCCCCTTCACTATGGGATCACTAAAAGCCAACAGCAAAACTAGTTAGTATGAGCATTATTTCCTGGTTTTGCTTGCGGTTTTTAGTGATCCCGCGTCCGTTCTTTTATACGTGGTGTTTCCCGAATATTCAGCTTTTATTTAGCTCTAACCGACGATAATAAACTGCCATTTCAATTATGTTTGAAAACAGTCAAGTCTGGTGTTATGGTGCACCTGACGTGCGAGACGGCGACGGTTCGCTCTGCCATGGCCTGGTTATTGCTGTAATCCCGGAAATGGCTTCCTTGTTGATTTCATATCCTGGTCACGAAGCCGATTTGTGTCATTTAGTCGATGCTTCGGCAATGAATACAATCCACCCAGCGGCTAAAAATGCGTAGTGCTTCCGGGGAGAGGTTCAAAAAAAGGCGCTTGGCGTTGGTATGCCGCCACAAGTGTTGCGGGATCTTTTTACACTTTTACCTTGGTGGAAATGTTTCAAAATGGAGTTTTAGTCAGAGATGTTGTTAGAAAATGGGACATGCAGCGGGCAGAGAACAGACCAGCTCTGGATTGGCGCAAGTATCGCCTGGAAAGGGTTGGGCTGAATTTCGTATTGCGTTAACTCGCTCAAACACGGAGCACGGAGTAAAGAGGATTTCCAGTGGTGGAGCCGGGTTTATGGCACAAGGTCCGAAAACAAGGATTGAAATCGAGGAAACCGGACGCTCATGTATGCTGTTTTAGTTTATCAACAAATTGACGTGTACTGGCGTCCCTAAGTACACATCGGACTACTACTTTACTACTTTTACCCCGAGGCTTAGGCTTAGACCTTACTTCAACGACTATTTGAGTCATGACCCCGAGTCCGAGTCGACGCTTCTAGGAAATGTCCAGCAGAGAACTTTGACCGCGACTTGCCATTTCGACGTGACCGCGTGTCCATGACGTAGCTTTACCTATTGTTCTCTTGTAATAGCTGACCCTTTTCTCTGATTAGTTCTTGCTGTGTTAATGCGACCTTGATTAGTCCACGTGTATGTGATCGTAGAGTATTGGCTAGATTCTTAATCCCTATTGTTCTCAGAACCGTACCTGCGCGTACGTAGAGTCGCACCTGCGCGTGCCCAAGACTATATAAGGCGCTCGTCGCCCACACAAATGTAAAGAGTTTTCTTCCAACAAAAAGTAGTGACTTGTTCACGACCTGATTAACTGCAGACTTTGCCCTGGGATACTCTTTCACAAGTGAGGACTCTTGCTAACTGACCTCTTGGTGATCTTTCACTTATGTCAGGGGTTTTCCTCTACTTCGTCGACGTGCATTATCATTCTCGGATAGGCTCGTGGCTTAACATGTTACCCACTAGCTCCCACTTGCATCCCGTGACCTTTGGTCTCATCGTCTTCTTCGATCTTCATGCCCTTTAGTACAAGGTTGATGGATTCCTCCTACGCTTCGGCTACCATCTAGCGTAGGACAGGTAACGTATAACTTCTTCGCCTCCTACTCCTCCTTCGTGTCTTTCAGCAGGGATTCCGGGTTCCAGTCTTCCATTTTCGCACATCATCAAACCTACTTCATCTTCTATCCTAGGACTTTCTGTCTCCATGAAATACATGAGAAGTTGAGATTAGAGTGCTCTACTGACTTTGTCGTGGTCAGGGAAGTGGTTCAACAACATCATAGAAGGATTGACAACGTCTTTTCGTTTGAATTGCACGACAAAATATCTTCACTTCCGTTCCCAACGACTGCTATACACTGGGCATCCTTGTCGATTCAGCTTTTCGATTCGAGACATTGCTTCGGATCGTCTCTCCCAGTTCGGGGGATGGTCCGAAGCCACGTCTCGATCCTGGCGCGTTACTGAACAAGGGATAGCCTACAAACAACCGGCTCGGCCATCTAACAATTTATGTGCGTATATCGTTTTAGTTATACACTGCTGCGCATCACAGGTCATTCACTTTCTAATGTACATAAATGGAAGTTCACTTCTCATTATTTAATATTTACTAACACAACAAAGAAAAAAACATTTATGTAGTGATATCTCGGCATTAACGCGCTAGCCTGCGGCTGAATAATGAAATTTAACCGTTTTTTTAACGAGGCTGTCACAGGGATTTCAAAAACAGCTCAGAAGTTATTGCCGGTTTTATGGTTTGCAATAGCGTGGCAGCGATTTCGTTTTAAAGAGAGCACTGGCGAATAAAGATTATTTTACTGGAGAAGTAAATACAAACCGTTTTTACGGCAGCCTATTTACTGTTCACAAATACACGAGTACAAATGACATTCCGAAAGTATTCCCTATTTTGTAACTCCCCGCTCCCGGCATTAACGCGTTCAGCTAATTTTATCCATATTGTTAACTGGGCATTTCCACTATATTTCGCTTTATAATTCAGTTGTATGTGCATTTTGGATTTTCGTAGTGTTAATTTTTACTAAAAGCGGAACAATCTGTATGTCTGTGGCTCTGTGCAGGATAGATACAGTACCTATACCGTAATATTTTCAACAGATTGTGTTTTTATGCCGGCAACGCAATGTTAAGGGAAGTGGGCCGGTACACGGTGCCAAATTCGTGTACATGCATGAAAACTTACACTTTCGCGCACTCCCAAACACATTTTTGTTTCGGTTTATGGCATTCTGTAGCCAGAGGATTTGTATACACTGGTGTGAAAACCGTTTGCGCGCGCAACATCCGGTTCGGGAGTTATGGCTGTTAAAAAATTCCAAAAAGTTTAAGTGCATTCAGGTGTACCAAAAGTCTCATTATAGACCGATCTCCCTCAAATTTTGCATGTAAATGCATATAACCACGAAGAATTTTTTTACACCGATCCACTGTTCTAGCATGTTTTTCAAATTTTAAAATGAATTTCAAAAATTTTAAAATTCATTTTAAAATTTGAAAAAAATCATGGAAGCCTGGATCGGTGTAGAAACGATCTTCATGGACATGCGCATTTACGTGCAAAATTTGAGAGAGATCGGTCTATAATGAGACTATTGGTACACCTGAACGCATTTAAACTTTTTGGAATTTTGCAGCAGCCATAACTCCCGAACCGGATGTTGCGCCACAAACGGTTATCACGCCAGTGTTTACAATTCTTCTGGCTACAAAACGTCAACTGAAACAAAAATGCGTTTGGGAGTGCGAAGTGTAAGTTTTCGTGCATTTACACGAATTTGGCACCATGTACCGGCCCACTTCCCTTAAGTTCTTCGTAAAAACCGCGTTTACTCGAGCACGTGAGATGCTGTGCTCCGGTCTGTTAATGCACGCACGCAGCTGTTAAAGCAACTGCGAGGAAAATCTGTAGACAAGGAAACTTTAGGGTATATGGCTTCCTTCATAGTTGCATTTCTCCTCCCGCTTTTAGTGATGTAATAGTGAATTACGAGAAACTATAAAATAAAAAACTCGTACTATAAATAACTATGTATAACTCGTACTATAAAATTGAATGCATGTAAATCCATTAGTTGGTGAGTGATCCCTTAAAATTAAAAATTAGCTACATATACAATTTTGCGTGCAGAGTAAGTAAAAATAAAAAAGTGTGCAACCACAGTAAGAAACAGGAAATAAATAGGATTAAGAGTTTGCGCAGGTAAAGGTTAAATGAACTCAGCTAATTTTCATTTGAAAAACGATTTTTAGCAATTAAGTTGTATAACTGGTCGTACGTCGCACTGCCGTGCTGAGAATAATGTTCATAAAGAACCCGTATTGTTCTGCCGTGTTGAGAATTATGTACCCTCATAAAGATTTTACCGTTACAGTATGGCAACACTTACTTTGGCGACATTGCAACCGTTTTCGCCTTGATCCGTATTTTAAAACCATTTTTACCAAGTCTACGTCATGGTTGCCGGTATCGGCCTCCGATCAATGGCGCAAGTCACGCAACCATGCCGCTGTGCGAGTTCCGCAGCTGTTGAGCGCAGACTGGATCCGTAAACGTGATAATTCGTATCGATTTTTCATGGTGCCTTTATCGATGAACTGATGTTGGGGAACCGGTGATTGAATGATCTTGTAACACATAAACTACTTTTTTACTGCATATATGTTGCCCAATCTTACGTTCCTGCATTATCAAGTAATTTTTAGAAGGCTTTAGCCACCATAATATGTTACTGATACAGTATGGGAGCACTAACAGTCTAGTCCAAAGCTGCCTAGTATGGGCCAAACTACCTAGTTCAAATATGTTTGAAAACATCCGTGCCTGGTGTTACGGGGCGGTTGATCTGCGAGACGGCGACGGTTCCTTCCGCCAGGGCCTGGTTATTGCTGTAATCGCGGAGAATGACTACCTTGTTGATTTCAATTATTCTGGTCACGAGGCCGACTTTGTGTCGTTCGGTCGATGCTTCGGCAATGAATACAATCCCCCAGCCTGTAAAATGCTGTGGAGATTCTGTGATGAGGCTGCAAAAATTCAGCCTCGTCCTTTAATGGACGCCTAGCGAAATTGAATGGCAGATCGACAAATGTTATATTGCAAATGTTGAATACGGGAGGTTTTCTTATATTAAAAGCCGTTAAAAAGCATATTTTTCCCAGGTGGATTTCTGGACATTGGTGAGATATGCAGCCGGTGTAGTGTTCAGAACAGAAGCGTAATATTTACTGATTTTCAATCTAGGTTAAAGTGTTTCGAAGGATGGCCAACAGAGGTCCGCGTCTCGTCAGCTGCGCAGCCGGTTTGCCCGTCGCGAGCGCTGCGGCTCCGGCAATGTTTCCGTGGGCATTGACAAAAGGTTCACGCTCCACAACGTGAACCTTGTGCTAGTGTCTCCGGAAACCAAGTGGTTCCACGTGATATGTATGCCCAGCGTTCTGTCATTAAACAGTAAGTGCAAGTGCCCATCAGGCGGCGACAACTTGTTCTTTGTATCCAACAATATGTTAGGTTTTTTTGTGCTTGCATTAGTGCCAAAAATTGAGGTAACCGGAAGCGGTTTCATGCTGTATCAATGACGTTTTGCACGTAGCGCAAGAAGTCACGATTTCGAATATATGCCAGTGAAGATTCGCGGGAGAATCGGCGGGAAATACCGCGGCAAAAGTTGTTTCTCATCCGCTTTCCGCTCTTGTCATATGCCATATCTGTTTTGAATCTGGTACCGGCGCAAAACGTTTTATTTGGCAACGGTAGGCGCAACGCTTAAGACAACAGGAGATGCATTTCCTGGACTAACAGTTTAAAACTGATTCAGATTTAAATGTTAAAAAAAAACAGAGAAAGTTTTTAGATTTTGTGCGGTGCGCCGCTGCTCTAACCATGCACGCGACCGCTAAAAAGTCCCGACGGATCTATCGCGTCATTCACGGATCCTCGCACTGCGTGGAATGAAAGAATCCTATTTACCTTTCTACACCTTCAAGAAACCCTCGAGAATATGAACCGAAACAAGCTGCAGTGGAATAAAAAGCGATTCCATAACGGCCTATTGTGATGTCTCGATTTGTTTCGCTTTTGTTCATTGTGTTGTTAGCCTGACCGTGGTCTTGTTTTGTTAAAGTAATACTGTATGAAACACACCAGAAAAACTTTTGTGTGTTATTTCTTAAAATGTCAAATTTATGGACTGAGAGCTGATTGATATATTGATTTGGATTGACAAAATGAGCAAGGCGAGCCAATGCTTTTCTTGCACAGAATGGCTAGGAGCAGGAAAGCTTGATAACCATGACGCATCTTCTACGATTTTTACGATATTTTATTCTTGGGAATCTGCAATATGCAGCAAAGGTGACGAATCCCTAACGATGTCGCCGCAATATTCTACCCGCATGTAGTTTTGAACACAACTACACAGAAACACATAATTCGTATGCTACAGAATCCAAATAATACATTGTCAAACGTTATTACTTGTATGGAATGCACGATAATCATGGCCTTGATAGTTGTTAAAGAGTTTTATGAAATTTAGTCAAAAGTCATATTATAAACAACAGAATGTTGGTTGCAGTTAATCGATTATAATTTATCCCAGCTGAAAAGTAGTTAGTACGTATATGTATTAAATTACAGGGCTTTGCGCTTAATCCAGTTCATTGCGGAGTCATATGTGAACCTATTTCCGTCGCTCGCAGGCTGTTGACGTGGAAATGAAGATTCCGGCGGCGGTCGCAACAAAAACCCCGGAACACTCGCTCGGCGTGTTTGAAGCTCTTGGAAGCCTGGCGCAGTTCCGTTGGCATTATTGGCTCCCATTACCGTCTGGATTCCATTTAAGCTCGGTTTGTTAGCCTCCTCCACTGCGTTATCGACGGATTGTGTGGAATTTCCTGCAGATTTTGCATCGTTGCCGAAACGCACTTGGGCCGGGCTGGCTTGAGTGGTGGCTAGGATCAGCAGCAAAACCGAAGTGCCGTGGATTAATTTCCGCATGTTAAACAGGGAATGCACGCACTGTGGAAAAAATTGTACTGTAAAGTGTAAACAGTTTTGTGATATGTCGTCTGACTGACTCGATGCTTATATATATCTTCCTTACCTATACCGCCAATTAATTAATTATGCTTGGGGATGCAGACGCCGCTACATTCCTTGAACGAGCTGGTCATTTTGCACCATAAATAACACAGAATCACGCTTTTTTCGACTGCGCTGACAAGCTGTACCGATTACGAGGAAAAGCTGTCTCGGTTTCCATATAACATATTCCATATTCCGTACCATCATATTCGGTAAATACCATTTCGTTCAAACAGGTTTTACGCTGTAACTCTCAGATAAGCAAGCTTTTACATAACGAAGAAAACACTACGTGATTGACGTTTACGCTGAGAATTAACGACTGTATAGTTCAATGGGGCGTTATGTCGCATTATAAGTCAATCGACGAGGCTTCTCATATTGTCATTACCGGTAGTTGCACGGCCAAGACTTGCGAAATACTTGTCCAGGGTATATATATTCCGGGGACTTTAACTTCCGCAATTAGCTGTCAAAGCAAGAAATGGTAGGATGGCTAGATTTACCGGCATCGTTTAAATTACAAGGTAGTCACTGCGCAATCGCTTCAGATTATTATTCGTTTTCCGGTAACCGGATGTCATATCACGAACCTGCTTTCGATGAATATGCGCGCGGCTTATTGAGCCCCTTTATAAAACTTCCGCAATATATTGGTCAATAAATTAAACTTTCAGTACATTTGTATATCATACTCCATTATTCAATAAGATTTAAACAGTTTTTAGTTCATCCACAACAGAACTCGATTTCGTGGAGGTAGCGATTTTTACTTAAGCTTTCAAGTTATTTAGCGTCTTCGACTAGTACAATCACAAAAGCTAAAGGGTTTGTCTAATCTTGCCTCGATCTGCTAGTGCAGGAATTAACAAATACTTCGTATAGCTGGAAAGTTAGAAGAAACTCAAAGAATGCGATTGATGAGAAGCTATGCGAGAACAACGAAAACACTTCAAACAAGTGCATACACTGCCGCCATCAACGCAGCACTTTGTAGTTGGCATCAGTATCACGAATTTTTTCTTAACAGTTTATGAAAACTCCCATTTCGTTGATTAAGACCCCACAAGGGATTCTCGGCGCATAAAATTTTATTAGCAAATAATGGCTACTGTGTTTATCAATATGTAGTGATACGCGCTAGTACATGTATATCAGTTTTCTGTGCTTAATCTGGATTTGTGTTTGAAATTGCCAATGATCGTGAACGTGTCATTTCGGCCACCTAAGAATTCGAAAAAAATCAAAGAAACCTAAGAGAATTAAAAAGTATAAAACCTAAGAAGCCGAAGAAAAGCAAAGAGTACTAAGAAACCTCGGAAACCCATAGTCTAAGAAACCGAAGTACATGGTGCCCAAGTATCAGGTGGCCTAAATGGCAGGTGGCAGCCAACCCTATACGGGTGCTTTTCATACTTACATGGACTCACAGCTAACTGTAACTGACACAGACTTACGTGAACTTACGCAGACTTACGTTACTTACATGGACTTATAGCTAACAATTGCTTACACGTGCTTACGCGACCTTACACAGACTTTCGTTACTTACAATGAGTTGAGTATGTAATCTACTAATCTACTAATAACCCCTGCGGAAGCGCCCAGATACGCTTATTAACGGTGCCTTACGCGAATTTACATTACTTACACACCTCTCGATATATACCCCACAGTTTTTTCTGTAAACAAAACGTGGCATAAGTGGACGAAACACCGGCACTCCGCCCTACACGCAAAGTTGAGCCAATCTAAGTACTTGCAAAAACCTTCTAGCTGTTTTTGACAGTAGGTTATTGCACTGTACTGTGGGTTCTTACCTAGTTCTTGTAAAAAGCGTTAAGTGCGTACCATTGCCGGGCCAGTATACATATAAACGAACGAATAAACGGTGATTATTCAGTCTCGTCTAGCAGATATGTAGTGGGCTTGTATTGTTCAGTTAAACGTGTTAATTGTTATTAATGTGGCGTACGAGTATTGTTCTCCGTACTCTGTCACGCCCACTGTCCGCTTCTCGACGTCAGCTTGGCACTGGCCATGCATATATAGAGTCCATCGCTGCATGCGTAGCCTATATTCCTGTTTTGCCAACTAGCACGCACTAGTATTTTTTCTGTTTACCACCCGCCACACCCGACTTGTCACTTGCATCGGAACCATCATGACCGAAGATCGAATCGATTTTTGGATTTAAATAATTTTGTCTGGCGCCCGTTTTAAGGGAAGTGACCCGGTACATGGTACCACATTCATGTATATGCACGAAAACTCCCCAGCCCATTTTTGTGTTTTTTATGACATTCTGTGACCAGATGATTTGTATATCTGTGCACTGGCGTGAAACCGTTTGTGCGCGCAATATCCGGTTTGGATAGTAATGCATGTTCGAAATTTCCAAACAGTTTAAATGCGTTAAAGTGTACCAAAAGTCTCCTCATCAACCGATCTCTTTTTTAAATTTTGCAGTAATCGCACTTATGCATGAAGATCGTTTTTTTACACGGAAACACCATTCTCCCATTTTTCACACTTTAAAATGAAATTTGAATTTTTTTAAATTTACCTGAAAATTTGTAAAAATTGTAAAAACGATCGTCCTATTTACGTGCATTTATGTGCAAAATCGAAAAGGATCGATAAATAATGACACTTTTGGTACACCTGAATGCATTTAAACTTTTTGGAATTTCGAGCATGCAGCAAAGTGCAGTCGATCTCGAATGAACGGTCGTGTTTTACAAAACGCGACAATGGCAACGCCTGAAAATAGAAACGCGCATAGAAAAGGCGCTACATGCATTTTCGGTTTCTCAATGTCATGTGAGAAACATGATGTGATCAGCTTGTGATCATACCTTCACGATCTAAGTATGTAGGATTGTAGGTCTATGACCGACGCCTATGCGACCCGGAATACCCGCTAGGTATTCACGTTTACTTCCATCTGTCTGTACCTATATAAGCTCTGCACTGTTTTACCATCGGTATCGTATCTTCAGAATGATGATCTTCTGTATGCATGTTAGCATTGTACCATCCGCTTACAATCATCATGAACCATAGATAAAGATACAGCACTGAGCAGTGAGCACGGTCTGTTTCTCTTCTGTTACTAAAACCTTGTATTACTCTGTACACCAGCACGAGCTTTTACGTTCTGTTTTTAAACTGTTACATACTGTACTGTAACGACGACATGAATGTGATCGAAATAGTATAGTGATCGAAGTAGTGATTACTATGAGTACCGGTATATTAATTACCAAACGGAGTACAATAATTATTACTGTGTGTAACTACTCTAGAGTAGTAGTACTAACTGCTCATCTCCGGCTGTGCTGCTGCAACAAGATTCAACAAGGATGTTACGGTCTGTATAAACTTTTTTAATCTTTTTGTATGTTCATGTGATGGTGTTGTTTGATTACAGATAAATCTGTTTTGTTTTCATACACGCGCATAAAGGCTGCAGAAGGCTATAGAATCCAGAAAGACTGCATTTATGGCCTGAAAACTGACAAGTATCGAAAGGCTTGACAACTGGGATCGAAAACCGGAGTTGCGGTCTAGCAGAATGTTTAGTGCTAATTAAATTCTGGTTTAAAACTATAGTTCGACGGACAACGGGGAACAACACAACAAAATGCTGAGGAAATTTTCCCTGGAACCGACAGAGGCCGGGACGGAAAACTGATACCTGGGGCAAGCACCATATATCAGTTATTCGTCCTGGACTCTCGGTCGGTTGCGCATTTCTGGTAACGGCTGAAATATCCAATGGTTTGCTTGAAATACGACTCGTTAAGTATGAGAACACCGTAGAGAGCGAATTCGCAAGACGCCAGCTCGAGTACGCCTCGAGGATAATAAATGGTCACTTGCCTTTGTTTTGCGACAAAAATCCTCCTGACTAGCCGGTCTCAGTAGAAAATTTTCGGATACAGTTGCTGTGCCGTGAACGGTAGCACGTCAATTCGCCGACCTACAATTTGCTGACCGACCATTTGCTGACCGACATGTTGCCGACTTACACAACTCGCTGACCGATAACTTGTTGACCGACAATTTGCTTTTCGGCTAAGTTGTTGACCGACGTTTTGTTGAAACACTTTTGCTGACCGACAACTTGCTATCAAGTTCGGGACGTCAGTTTTTGAGTTTTCTTAACTTTTTGTTGTTTAGTCTTAGATTTCTTAGGTTTCTTAGGTTTCTTAGTTTTCTTAGGTTTCTTAGGTTTCTTGGGTTTCTCAAGTCAGCAAACTCTCGGCAGCAAGTTGTCGGTGTTCACAAAAAGTCGTTCAGCGAAATGTCGTTCAGCGATTTGTCGTTTCAACAAACTGTCGGGTCAACATTTCGTCGGCCAGCAGAAAGTCGCCAGCAAGTTGTCGGTCAGCAGGATAGTCGTCAGCGAGTTGTCGGTGTGCCGCTGTGAACCGGATATCGTAAACAAAAAGCAAAATTACAGGTAATGATGTTCGATCCTGTAACTGGATGCTGCAAACGTCGTTCAGCAATTTGCCGATCATCGAGTAGTCGTTTCAACAAATTGTCGGGTAAAAATTTTGTCGGTCAGCAAAAGGTTGTCCGCAAGTTGTCGATCTGCAAGATGGCGGTCAGTAAATTGTCGGTGTACCGTTGTTACCAATTTTCCGTCCGGTGATGGCTATAAAACAAGAGTTTAATTAATACTGTAATAAGAAACTATGTAATACATTACAATATCCTGTGCCATCTGTCAAGTCTTTCGAAATAAGTTTCGATACATTTACGACCTCAAATGCCGTCTCCTTGGACGCTGTAGCTTGGCCGCCTTAAATACGTCTGTATGATTAAATCAAAAAAGCAAAGAAATTATCAATAATCGAACAGCACATGAAATAAGAATTATAAGATAACCGTGATTTTGAACATACCGTTCGCTTAAACATGCGTGCTTAATCTCGCTGCAGCAGCCCTACCTGAGACGCGTAAACATGTACAGCATCGCTCTTCGCTTTACAGAAAGATATGTTTACACTTTCGTTGTATTCATGCCGTCGTTGCACTACGTAACAATTTAAGAATCGCTGTGGTAAGGATACAGAATCTGATGCTGGCAAACCTGGACAATGCATGGATTATATTTTTCTTGCGTATTTCTCTTTCAGGCTTTTCTGTTGTCGCGTTTTGTCGCTGTAACTTGAAGCGGAAATACGCGTCCATTCCTTTTGGATACCCGCACTTTGCGTAGTGGCTAACACTACTGAAGCCGCGCGCACAAGTTTCACCATTGGCTGCGATCGCTGTCGTCAAACTGTACGTGTGCGTTGGGAACAATCGCAGCCAGCTGTACCTGGCCGCATGCATGGAGGTATTTCGGAAATTAAGTTCCACAGGGCACACTTAAGGGAACTGGCCCGGTACATGGTACCAAATTCGGTACATTGATTTGCGCTTTTTGTGATCTATCACTGAGAGGCCTTTTAGCTCCATTCTGGCTGGAAAACCAGCAGTCTTCAGGCAACAGGTGAACGCTCCGCTGATGCCATCCTATTTTGGCAGTCTTCCGGCGGACCGCTTCCGACGGAATCCGTGCCCGTCAGAGCGTCAACCAAACCACCACATACGCACATTGGCAGTTCAGTACTGCCAGTACCTGTGCTGTGTCGCCATTCTCATAATTCTCTTCCAACCACGTCTGCATTAGAATAGCGAAACCGCACAGTACGGCCAACATGCTGGACTGTATCGCCCGTGTCACATATGTTGTTCTCCCTTCTCCGTCAGCCGCTGTAAAACAACGGTTTAAACTGCAATACAAAATTCTATTAGACCGTGTTAAGGTCTTCTGTGCCCGATGTCAGGTTGCCGATATTCCAGAGGCAAAGAATGCCGTCTCGCCGGATGCTATAACGTTGTTTCCGCGTATAAAATTGGAGCGAAAGACAAACAGGTTTATCATTAACTAAACAGCGCTATCACGAGAACATGCAAAATGATAACGGTGATTCTAAATTCTATACAAACCGTAACATACTGGTTGAATCTTGCTGCAGCAGCTCAACCCGAGATTACTGCATTACTTGAGCTGCTGCTGGGAAACGCCAGTACTCACCATTATTGCGTTACAGCCAATCCTGGAAAATACTGAACAATGCATTTTTACGAAATTTTCAGACGGACAGTGAGCGCCTGGAATGCGGTGGATGTGTTAGTGGACGAGAACGGACCACTGCAGCACGGCAGCGTCATCAACATCGTGGAAGACGGCGTCATTGTGGATTTCTACTGCGAGTCACAACGTTCCGTGCTGGTGGCGTTTGGTAAAACCTTCCTTGCTTCCTCCCGCGAAAAAGAGCTGAGCTGGTCGAGCGTGCATTTCCCTGAAGAGTGGCCCTGCATGGATCGTCGGCCGCCCGCGGGCGTCGCCCCACCGGACGTGCAAGTACTGCTGCGCGTATGCCCCACGGGTCCGTGGGCGTGGCATCCCGGCAAACTCCTTATGCACCAATTTGAGTGTGCCGATGAGTACGCCTTCGTCGAAGTCCAACTGGGCGCCGTAAAAGTTCGTGAACTGGTAAATACTGTTCAAGTGCGTTTTCCGCTGTCCGTACAAGAGATGCAGTATTGGATGCTGAAGCCCGGAGACTTTGTCGTTCGCTCCATTCCTCTGCCGGCAGGATACTGGCAGTGCATCACACCGTCGTTATCGGCAGCGTTTTCTCAGGAAACTGAAGAGCAGCTTGGTGCGCGCTGCATTTGTGTCCACAGCGAACGGATGGTGTATTTGCGGAGCTGCGGCCGGACCGCGATCTCGGACAGCTCTCTTGTAAGTCCGAATTTTTGACTTGGGGTAAACGAATCAGCAAGGCCAGGCTTTACCACAATGAATCCCAATAAATGTCTCGAATTGCACGTTAGTGAATGGTGAGTATCGTCGCAAGTCGCTAACTAACAGCGTCATTGGATCCTCCTTAGGAAAGTTAAATTTTTTCATGATGACAGGGTCATACAGATATAGTCATTGCATACGCTAAAAAATAGTCTGAAATTCCATGGCCACGAGCCACGAGGATCTGGCAAGCACATTTTGAAGTCAAAGAAAATGGCCTGGTACAAGCCGGTCCGGAGTTAGAGCATGGTGGAAAACAGCTAACGCATAATAAGCGCGATGTTAGCGCTTAGCACGATGGCCACTACACGTCTACACTACGTCTGCCACAATGCGTAAATGCGCTCCGCAGTTAGATTTTCCCTTACTGCACCGACTGTTTTCTGGCCACCTTCCGCCAGGCAATTACGATTATACTCATTAAAAAATATGGCGTGCAGCCATGCACCAAAGCACCAACCAGACAAAAGCATGTTACGTTTTCAAAAAGTGTGACGTGTCGTGGCGTAGTATGTTGTTTAGCGTAACCCACGAATTTACATTGTTCGCTGTTCTCTGTCGTGCTCTAACTCCGGACCGGCTTGTACTGTCATGGTGTCATAAATGGATACATACATAACACAACACAAGACAAGTTTATTTCCATAACGCGATAACAATATCAAGGTTCAGTTTCACTTATACATACATTAAAACTTTGGAAATCACTATAGGCACCCCTTACACCCTCGTTTATTATAGACACCCCTTCTCGCACCCCGTAATTTATAGACACCCTTGTCTGTTTATTAAATAGAAACACTCTGTCAGTGTATTTTATCGGCACCCTTTAATAGCATATTTCGGATACAGAATTCGAAAATGATTTGATGTACGTGCATCAGTCTCATACAGATACTCGCATACAGACAGAATCAGGCTTTCCATCCGATGATCGGGCGGTGAGGCTGATCTGCTAACTTGGATCTAATGAGGATGGCATCGTCGGCGGTTTAATTATTTTGATGTTTCGTTTCGCAGTCGTAATTTCGGATGCCGGTTTTCTGCCGATTCTTTTCGGAAACCGGGTGGCCTCCTCTTTGTCCAGCGCTTCTGCTAACCATTTTCGGTGCGGTTCGGCTTTTGTAAAAAGCGTACATTTTGGTGTCAGGCCCGTGATGAGCCACACTGATTCGACCCAGCATTCTGAAGTTGAACAAGAGGGAACATAACATCGACGTCGGTCTGCCTCTCCATACTTTTGCGATCATAGTTACCGTATCTAGGTTCTAACACTACAATTACATTATAATATGCTAAAGTTTCATAGGGGTGCCTATAAAAAACAGGGTGCACGAAAGAATTAACAGTGTCACCCTAAAACTTTTGCTATCGCGCATCCCGAATCACTTTTTTGTAATACGTTATGTCATTCCGAAGCTAAATGCTTTGTACATATACATTGTTCTGAGAACCGTTTGCGCGCGCAACATCCGGTTGCCGAGATATAGCCACTAAAATGGGCGAAAAGTTTAAATGCATTGTTGTGTACCAAAAGTCTGGTTACTACGCGACCTTCTTGAAACTTTATTTTAAAAGACACATGGCCATGAAGTCGAAAATAAAAGAATATCAAATGATTCAAATCCAAAGCATTTTTTCCGATTTTAAATGAATGTCAAAACTTTTAAAATTCATTTTAAAGTTATTGGGAAGTACTTCAAACCTGAAATTGGTTCACTTTCGGTAAGGCAGGGTGCCGGTGTTTCGCTACAAAAATTGCCAGAAATTCCATTAAAAATACTATATGTGGTAAAAATAATGCCAATCTTTTTGCAGCTAGAAAAATAGTAATCCCAGTTATCTTGCAGGTAAGCTCATGTACACATGTGCCGATCATCCATGTGGTAGGCTTCTCATTTGGAAAAAGCGAAAACTTATGCGAATAACGCTCGGTACGTTTCATGTGGGCGGGAATACCATTACTACTGGGGTTCACCAAAATCTACTTTATCTGGGCCACTCAAAACCAAACGAGTAAAGGTGTCGGCCGCGGGGATTCCGATACCGCGGTTGTTGCTGGTCGAGATCTTCCAGTCACTGGACACCATCGAGCGTCTACGGTGTCGCCGCATGCTACGCGTGGGAAGCCATTTTGACATCAGCTGCAGTGGGTAGCGAGATGCGTGTGTCATTCACCCTGATGAATATCAAGCAGGACTGGTCCAACCTGCGGTTGAATTACTACGCCATCTACAGCTGCATCCTCAAACACCTCACTCCGGCCACACGCACCATCTGCTTCCTGGATTACGATAGCCAGTGGTTGAACACCCGCGACTGGGCAACCGGGGTTATGAGCTGCGGGCAGGATGTGCTGGACGGAATTCTGCTGGCGCCGCATCAACACGCGACGCGCCAATTTCAGTCTGGCGACGTCTTTGGAACAAATGGCGCAAAACTATCGCGCCTTGGCGTCCTGCTGCAACAAAATCATTTTTAAAGATGTGACACTGGAAGGCGGGTTCGGGGAGTTGCATGTGCCGTATGGTGTTGTGCTAACGAATGCGTGCAGCCCCGCGCAACTGTGGGATTTGTTTGAAGGGTATTTGGATGATGCGGCGGACGTGACCGCCCTGGCGGCGTGGATGGCGGATGGCAAGCGGTACGAGCCGGATGAGGTCGAAGGATTCGCCAAGGTAATGTAACAACTCTCCTTTATCTTTGCTTCCTTTTATCAGCGGCTCAAGCTGCTTCTAGCCTTCTACTGAACGACTGATCTGCGTAGATTCTGCAAACCTACCAAAGCGCTGATCCACGCCCAACGGCTCGCTTTCAGAAATGCCAGTGGACGGTAGAGGAGCTGAAGGGTTTGGATGTGCGCACACTGAACCGTTTCACGTTGGCCGTGTTGCACAAAGAAATCCACAACGCTTCCACTCAAAGAAATACAGCAGTACTTCAAGAATATGCTTTCTGGCTGCCGGCAAGAAGCTTGACGATGTAACAAACGTAAAAGGATAATAACGAATTTCGGTGAACTGTGGCAGTAAATTACCAATAACAGTTGCACTAGCCATCTCATAGACGCACGTGTACTGTATTTACACGATATTAAGGGACAGAGAAATCCCCTGGACCGCCCGCACTAGGCGTCGGCTCCATTGATGTCAAAGGAACCGACAGCTAGCGCGGGCGGTCCTGGGGATTTCTCTGTCCCTTAAAATCGTGTAAATACCTCTCTGCCGATTGTCGAAGATGTCTGCTTTCTCATCATATGCATGTTTATTCATCGCAACGATTTCTCAGTAACGGCTATTCTTTCTGGCTAATAACTCTCGTAATAATATTATTTATCATTGAATCTTTCCATCGGTCGTACATACCTTTTTTGCCAAGCTGGTTTTGGTAGTCGCTGATCTACCGTAGGCGTCCTGGTGTGCATCTGGAGACATTTAAATACGAAACTAGGAATACCAGTTCCCGGCATATTGTGCGCTCAGAGCGGCCGGGGCCATAGTGCATGGTCTGCCTTTGTGGTACATGCACCGCTGCACCTATCAGGAAAATGCACCCAATTGTGCATTGGCAGAATAGGGGTTGCTCTTCGAGATGAAGGCAAAAATAAAGCAAAGTGGTCCTTTTGGTTGCCGTGTTCGGGCAACTTACGAATAAGTAAGTAACAGTTTTGCACACGTTTTGCGCTCAACGGTTTTTGCATCACGGACGGTGTAGTTCTGGACCACGGACAGCAAGTCAAACTCAAGTACGGGCATTGTAGCACTTTAAGTCAGTGTTGTTATGGTAGAGTTGAGAGCGTTGTGTCCAACCTGACAACTGCAGCAGCAGTGTCTTCATGATGTAACGACACAATGAACAGCGCATAACAACGCTTGATTTTATGTACGCAACACTGGATGCACAGGCGTAGAGCACACAATAAATAAGCTCCATTGCGTTGCGGTGTCGTTAGCGAGCAGTAACGTTGTGACGCAGTGGCTAAATGGCTCAACTCGAGCTCCCAATTTTTCAATGTCCTGCTTATAGCGATCTAAAATTGTGAGATTAAGCGATCTAAAATTGTGAGATGTATGTATAAACGTTGCTCACGTACTTAACAGAAATTCGTTTCTTGAGGGGATCACTAGCAGTAGAAAGCGGGTTTGGAAAAACGGGAATGGTTTGAAAACGGTGAGCAAATATTTTAAGTTTTCACGACTTTGACCAAACGCAAGAGGATTTAACGGCACAATGGTGGGATGCGATCCACTCTGGCCTGTTCTGGTCCGAGCTATTCATCGAACAAAGAAACAACTTTGAAACCAAAAGCTGAATGAGAAAGTTTCTTTCTTTAGTATGTCGTAATTAATGCTGTTTTTTTTACAAACTTGTGACGCGACTGGCTTGAGCTAATAAAAAATAACTAATTAAAAAAATATGTACTGCAATATATAATATACATTATTTAGTGTGTTTTCGCCTAGAAAGCTTATACCGGTACACCGAAACTCCAATGTTTCACTATGCAATGTACTCCATATATCTGTAACTGCCAAAAACACTTTTCAAAAAGCGTTTTTAGTTGAGACATTTTGCACTTTTCTACTGGCATGTTTCGGTATATCAGCTTTCTGGAAGAACATACGCACAACAATGTACTGTATCGTCGGCTCAAGACGGCACCATTTTTTACAGTGCTGCAAATCTATGCTATATAGCCCCATGCGCCGTGCAAGTATGCACTGAACTGCTTGCACAGTTTCAGACAATCTATCGGGGCGGTTGAAAGCGACTGCCGTAAAAAAAACGACAGACCGTATAAAACGGCCATTTTCATTTTCGGGTGAGTTAGTTGCAATCCTGTTTCTTTTCGCTGGAAATTTTTTTCAACTAGATATGAGACATTTGCGAAACAGTATACGTTCAAATTTATAGAAGCACTGTGCTTAGTTTGTGAAAGTCAGGTCCTTCTAATTGCAACTGCTGAGCCACATTGCAGAATCTGAGCCACATATTTCAGAGACGACACTTCGGTAATAGATTTCGTGAGTTTTCATGATTTTTGTCAAACGCGACACCTGATATTTTCTAGGACTGTCTCAGATCGACCCAGTTCCCCCTTGACAAAGGAGGGACGCCCCAAAATTTCGGGTGTTGTACGGGCGACCGCTCATGGTCGTCGATCTTCGGGGGAAGAATCTTCGGAGAATTTCAAAATTCGGCCTTGGCCGTTTCGTTCGGGATTTTTTGACAAATCCAAAGGTTTATTCAAAAAAATTATCGGATGAAAACTGTAGGAGCAGTTCTCTTTTGAAAATTTAACGGGGAAAATTTATCATCAGTCGCTATAAACCCCCCGGGTTTATTGTCTGACATTGTGAATGCAGTTCAGTGCCCACTTGCACGGCGCATGGGGCTGTATAGCATAGATTTGCAGCACTGTAAAAAATGGTGCCATCTTGAGCCGACGATACAGTATACTGCATCATAAACAAAGAAACCTTCTCATTCAACTTTTGATTTCAAAGTTTTTCTTTGTTTGATGAATAGCGACCAGAGAGGATCTCGTTGCACCATTGTGTAGCTACACCTTCGCCTTCAGTCAGAGTTGTGAAAACACATATCTGGCCATCCTTGTCAAACCATTCCCGTTTTTCCTACACCCTCTTTCTACGGCTTGTGGTATCCTTAAAGGGACACCTTCCTATATTCGTGCAGGCTTTAAATCCACCAACCTAGCGCAGTCGGCAGAGGGAGAAACGTCGAACATGCGCTTTCTTGGAAGACACGGTGGGCTACCTGATTTATTCGTTGGCGGTCGAAACAATTGACTGGTTCGGCGCCTCGTTCGAAGTAGCGGTCCGATTTGCCGACACAGATTTTCGGTGTCATGACGGAACCGCGGAACCTTAGTCATTTGGTTTTTGAAAAGTACGCGTTGGGCTAGGAAATACTGCCGATGTCTTAGGCTTTCAAGCATGACGCACGTGAAGTAAAAAATCTCAAATTAAAAACTTTTTTTTCAATACTCAATGCTGAATAATTTTTAACTAATTTGCATCGTGAATAAACTTTGTGCTGTCTTCAAGGCTACGGCCAAATAAAAAGTTTCATGCCAGCATTGTGTTGCAGATTCGAACACGTATGACGCTGACTTATGATTACACGAGCGTGAATTTGCCTCACAATTTTTCCAAGGCAGTACAGTTAAATAATAATCACGATCACGATGGAACAATCACGATAAGAACGATTATCGTGATTGTTCCATATCGATGCAAAAAATAAGAACTTCCTTCTTAAGAAGTCTATACCTAAACCCATTCCAAACAGTCCGCTTAAAGAATCCTCGGTCACCGCAATTTATCGAAAAGACCAGTAAAAATTCTTCCGCGATTGAAAACGATTACGGCGTTGCAGCAAGCGCAAAATTACTTGAAACGTTTACGATATAAAGTCAAATTCTGGTATCGTTTACGGGTTTCGCGTGCGCCATCGCATTGAATTCAATTTATTCCGATAGGAAGGTCAGCTGACACTTGGAGTTGCACTTTCAGTAAGAAGTCTCGCGGACTGAAATAACCATTCGCCGGATCTAGTAAATCCTCCAAATCGAATTTGGCTGAACAGCGTTTAATTAAGGCTTTCCAATGCAGTCACTGCACCTCAATAAAGATGTACCGCGAGCATCCAATGCCACATGGATTCCCATCAAATAAATGGGATATCTCTGTAAAATTCACAAAACATAAAGCAGAATAACCGTACCGTACCAGAATAACCGCATAATTATGTATGTACGTCTGTTAATTGGTTATTGGGGCAGTTTCCGTTTTCCATGGCATCAGGTGAAGGTCGGCATGAACGTGGCACATCCACGGACCGGATCCCGCATATCCAGAACAGAGAAGGAAAAAACCCAGTACCCGATTCATCGCCAAGTACTGGCACGAAACGTTATATATATTCGGCAACGGGAGGTGCCACGTGTATGTTATGTTTATGTTATGTTTATGTGTCGATTTGATTCGCTGCTGCTCAATGTATTGTTGGCCTGAGTGTGGTCTTTTTTTGTTAAAGTAATACTGTAACAAACAAACCAGAAAAACGTTTGATGTTACAGTTAACTCTGCAAGATTGAACAGCTGCGAAAATTGAACAACTGCGAATATTGAACGCCCGGATAGGAACCGGGCGTCTCGTATACTGCGAAAGATACTGCGAATATTGAACAGTGGCTTACATTGAACGCTTATGTGGGAACCGTAGGTATTCAAATCACAAAGGTTTTACTGTATTTTCAAGATGTAAAATTTTTGGTCTGGGAGTTCGTTCTTTTATTATGAGGGCTACATGTCTTGACTGGACCGTATCCCGTTGTATACCACAAGAAATATACAAATATAAATAAAAAAAATGCAAAAAAAAATATTTGTATACAAATTCCGGGTAAGCGCGAGGTTTTCGGGTCAGTTTGAATACAAAACTACAGCATATTCCCGTGCGGATGGCTAAAATCAGATTTACGCTTTACGAACATGGGGACTGCCGACGGCAGAAATTAACTTCAGTGAGACCATAAACGAACCGGAAGTTGGAAAAAGTGCACAACAGCGGTAACGAACGGAAAGGCAATGTTAAAAGACAGCGAATCATTGTTGATAAAGGAATCAAACTGGCGATCGAATGTATGCCATCTATGTCAGGAAATGCAAAAGCAGCGGTATTATCACTATTATTATGTATAACTAGCAGACCCCGCGCAAACTGCGCTAATGTAGCAGAATTTATTGTTACAGTATCATCGTATTGAAACAGCCACAAAACCACCGACTACTGCCTTCTAACAGTTTTTTCAGTACTAACTACTAACAGCAGCTTAACAGTCTTCGTTTACAAAACTTCTGAAAACACTACATTGCGCGTATAAGTTCCAGATCTGCCGGGAATTTGTCCTGGAACAACTTTAACTCTAATAGCAGAAAAGCAAGAAACCCTAGAAAATGCCACGTAAAGCTGTCCGTGAGAAAATACCGGCTCTGGTAAATACAGACCAAGACGTTTCAGTGTCTGTCCCTGCGATTT